CATTCTGATGTGACATTTGCTGGAAAAATTTGGTGTTTTAGAGATAGATGGGTTGGAGATGCTCTTAAGGCTGGGCAGAGGTAAATCAGGCTGTTGATACCATCTGTAACTTAACCAAATAAATCACGTAGGAACATAAATCCGTGACAGGATCTTATTTAAGTACTAAGTACTAACCTCCAGCCATAGCTTCCGATTGATGAAGATTGTGTTGTCACGAGACTACTGCGGCATATTAACAATATAAGTTTCTCTCATTTCACAACCGTCTCTAGATGGTGTATGAGAAATAATGTTAAGCCGTGGAGGACTAGAGGGCTCTTTATATAATAACCATATGCCATCAATATGATAAATGAATCCCTTCCCTAATCACACTTCTTACGACCTTAATTAATAGAAGCATGTGTGGAAGTCTTGCACCACATAGGAATTACCTTAATTATTTTAACTTTAACCTAATATTACAATAATGTAATTAGAAAAATGTTACAAGGAACTCGTTTATCCCTAATAAAACTTTAAGTGTTCAATTCTTGACTAATTTAAATTCGGAAAATTATTTTGTGGATCCGGGTCCATCTTGCAAGGTGGACCCAAGTCCAAAAATACGGCAAATTATATCATGCACCGCGCGTTATTTTTTTAAATGAAATGAAACGGTGTTTGTTTTTCGCCGTTTCGCACCCTTTTGCAAAAAGTAACTCTGTTATTCAGTGTCATTTTGTATACACTGAAGTTTCAGTTCAACACAACTACAGTTTCATTTCGATATAACTATAGTTTCATTCGATATTTATAGACTCAAATATGTGAAAATGTTATTTAATTTTATTTTATATACACTATAGTTTCATTAAAACACAACTACATGATTATTTTGATATAATTACAGCTTCATTGTACAATATACACTCAAATATGTGAAATGTTATTCAGTTTCATTTTATATACACTGCAGTTTCATTTCACTATAACTACAGTATCATTTTGATATAACTGCAGTGTCGGTTTAGATATACTGTAGTGTCAGTTGGTGTTTAATACACCAAACAAGCGGACTCCGTTAACTATAACGGCGGGCCGTTTCTTTACTTAAAGAAACGGCGCCGTTTTTTACCGCGCATGCACCGCGGTCTATGATATAACGACTGCAAAAATACACAATTTATATACCGAATGTTCACAATTTAAATTGAAAATATTCAGTATATAAAGTATGTATTTTGATTCGGGTCCATCACGCAAGGTAGACCCGAATCCATGACATAACTGTCCATTAAATTTACTTACCTCATCTGAACAAGTAATTGTCGAATATTTTATCACAATCAGCTTATACATGTATCACAATACACGTACAAGATAAACATAAGGGGGCGTTTGGTTCAGGTTATATAACATAACCAAGGGAATGTGACATTTCAAAGCTCACATTCCTATGTTTGGTTCATATTATCTCAGGGAATCTAACATTCTCCAGGAATGTCACATTCCCTCCACATAGGATTTTGAAGGGAATGTGATTCCCTTCAATTTCTAAGGTTATGTAAGATAACATTGGTTATGTTAGTTTATTACACACACACACACACACACACACACACACATATATATATATATATATATATATATATATATATATATATATATATATATATATATATATATATATTTGTAATTATATATTTTTTATTTTTATTATGTTAGGTTAGCATATAAAATAATTTTGTTTCTCAAGTTCAATATTTTAAAATCATGTAATTATATATGATACTGTTATCTTATTTATTTATTTTAATTTTTAAATTTATTAAAATATATGAAAATATATTAAGGATATTATAGTGTGTCAATAAAAGATAACCCTGAACCAAACATGATTATATTACATACCCCAATTTTAACCAAACACAGGAATTAACATTCCCAGGAATCTAACATTCCCAGCAATCTAACATTCCCTAAGGTAATCTGACATTCCGTGAACCAAACGACCCCTAAGAGTAATATAATACTAATCAAGCAGTTGTTTGCTAAGTCCTATCCTTAGCGGAAGTTTTAGCAAGAAACACAAAAAGGGGTTTGTCTCAACCCCTCCTAAGACCAAAGTGTGCTTGTACTAATCACATTTATATTTAAAATTTAAAATAATATTGAAATTAATGGATAACCTTACTAATATACAAAAAGGAAACATATATTCTCAAAATTTCACCAAGTTAAGCCTCTCTATCCCATCAGCAAGTTTTGCTGTGAATTATATTGAAGCTGACATTTTTTGCCCAATCTTAACAAAGGATCCCAACTCCATTTCCTAATTAAGATAAGAACAAATTGCACTTTTGGTCCTGTGAGTATTAGGGTATTGGCAATTTGAGTACGTGACTTTCAAAACTCCCAATTTAAACCTTTAACTATGCAATTTTTGGCACATTTGGTCCTCCGGGCCAAATTGCCGGCCAATTTTGGCCAGAAATTTTTAAATTATTTTTAATTAATTAATCAGAGGGGCAAAGTAGTCCTTTCACACTCTTTCTTCTTCTCCATTCTCCCCCCTTCTTCATCGTTGCAGCGACGGATTTCGTTCCGGCGACTCACACGGTAGTTCTTTGCTTCCCACGCGGCGACGGTGGATTTTTCCGGCGAATCGAGGGAGGGAAGTAAAAGGGATAAAGCTCATGTCGGACATAGCAACTACTATATAAAACCTATCACCCTTTCTTTTCATTGCAGAACCCAGGTCCAAATTGAGCAGAGACGATGAAGATGATGATGAGCAAAGACCTTGAGAGAGATTTTTCAGGTCCAAATTCTCTCTCCCAGAAAGCTAACAATCCTTCTCACCGCCGTCTTCCTCCTCGTCTACGCCACTGTCGTCGCCGCCGTTGGCGCGACGGTGCTCATCGGAGGTTAAACTCACCTCCGACTTCGTCTTCCTCCTCCTCTACGCCATTGTTGTTAGCCTTGTTTCTTCTATTCTCTCTCTTGTTTTTCTTGCTCTGCAATTACGGGCTGTCCTCATAAGCGTCGATGATTTCGTGGATGAGCTGCCGGTTGGGCGACGAGTCTCACCTCACCAAGTAGCTCATGTAGCAGCTGAAACAGTTGCAGTTGAAGCAGGAGGGTGGTTGCTGGCGCTGGCTCTTCCACTAATCATCACATTCCAGTCGCGCTCCGATCACATTCCAGTCGCGCTTTGCAACAAACTCCGATCACATTCCAGTCGCGCTCCCCGCCGTCGACTCAAATCATCGTGTCGCCGACGGCGAAGCTCTCCTTCTCCGGAGGCCTTAGGCTTCCGAAGTTCACCGTCAGGGCCCCCTCGAAGAAACTCTCGCGCTCTGCGACGTCTCCAAGTCGAACGGAACTATGGAGACAACCGTAGGCGACTTGGAGAAGATCGAGAAAGTCTTCACGGAGGAATCGGTGTTCGATTTCTTCGCTAACCCAATCATGAGCGATGAGAAGAAGCGGAAATTAATTCCAAACATTAATTTCGATGGTGAAATATAGAGCTGTCAAAGCGGGCTGGCGGGCCAAAGCCCGCCTTTTGGCGGGGCGGGCTAAAAAGCCCGCCAATAATACGGGCCTAGGTAGGGGCAGCCCGCCCCGCCCCGCCTTAGGCCCGCGGGCCCCGCCAAAGCCCGCCTCTTTTTTTTTTTTTTTTTTTTTTTTTTTTTTTTTTTTTTTTTTTTAATCATGTGTGATGTGTCTCTAAAATCTAAACTCTAATGTGATTATGTTAATAACTTAATTGCTATCTACTTAAAGCACTTATTCATAAGAAAATAACATAAATTTGTTCATCACAACATGACAACAATGACACCAATAGGGGTAACCGGGTAAGTATAATTATTCCTATTATTTATATTATTATATTATACATATTATACATATTATTTTTAATATATATATATATATATATATATATATATATATATATATATATATATATATATATATATATATATATATATATATATATATATATATATATATATATATATAAACTTAAAAACTTAAAAAAAAAAAAAAAAAAAAAAGGCGGGCTGGCGGGCTACCCGCCAGCCCGCCAAGCCCGCGGGCTAGGCGGGGCGGGCAAAAAAGCCCGTTTTTAATACGGGCTTCAAAACCATGAGCCCGCCCCGCCCTTTTGGCGGGCGGGGCGGGAAAGCCCGGCGGGCTAAGCCCATTTTGACGGCTCTAGTGAAATACAATAAAAAAATGACGTTTTTACCCTCATCATAAATTAATTCCAAACATTAAATCTTTTTCCGGCCAAAATTGGCCGGCAATTTGGCCCGGAGGACCAAATCTGCCAAAAATTGCATAGTTAAAGGTTTAAATTGGGAGTTTTGAAAGTCACGTACTCAAATTGCCAATACCCTAATACTCACAGGACCAAAAGTGCAATTTGTTCTTAAGATAATCCCGAATCAGACTAGCTTTTACAACAAGGAAACACATTCTACATCCGTAGGGAAAATAATTGGAAATCAAATTTTCTCCAAAATTTACTTTTTCAAGTTACAAACAAAAATAAATTTTCTTTTACTATTTATAATAACAATACAATCTCCCCAACATAATTCCTAGTGTAAATAACACTATTTAAATTCACTTACCCCATCATATTTTGTCACAATCTCATACATGTATAAATAGATCGATTTGTTCTTAATTAGGCATTGTTTTCTCAAACTTTTAGCTTTGAATAAACTAAATTAGGGGTTTGCCTCACCCCTTTCAAACTTAGATATTCATTGTGTGCTTGTACTAATCACATCATATTTAAAATTTAAAATTATATTGACATTTATATAATTTCTACACTCTAATACTGGAGAACCATACTAATATATAAAAAAAGAAACATTCTCAAATTCATAAGTTAACTAGCTAAGCCATCTCTCAAATTCATAAGTTAACAACTAGTTAAGCCATCTCTCATCAACAAAACCTGCTGTTAATTGAAGCTGTCATTTTGCCTAATCTTACTCCATGGAAAACACATTGTCCATAGTCTTGTACATTCTAACATCCCTAGAGAAATCAATTGGAAGCTCCTCCTCAACTCCACCTACATCAAATTTTCTCCAAACATTACTTTTCAAGTTACAAACCAAAATTGAAAGTTCGGTACTATTTGTACATAACAAAACAATCTCCCCAGCATGATTCGTAGTGCACCGCAGGTATTTACCCTCTTTTGGTGGAATGCGCATAGAAATCTTCTCCCAGCATTCCTTACATTTCTCCCAAGTCCAAACATTTAGGCGGCCCATTCTCCAAACATAAACAATAGCCAGTTGACCTCCATCAACTTGTAGCAATGCAAAATAGTCGTGAACAAGAGTAGAATAGTAATATTTTTCCCCAAATGCACCTATAGAATGAAAATGTGATGATGATGGAACTTCAACTGGAATTGGTATCAAAGAATAACTCTCGGACCCAACTTCAAATGCTACTATGTGGAAGCTATGAGGGTCATCTCTAGTCGTCAGCCAATTATAGGAATATATAATGCCGTCAATGTAGACACTAGGATCGCAAAAGCCAGGGTGGGTATAGCCTTCAAAGGGGTAGAAGGGGTGAGAAGAATAGTTGATCTCCCTCCATGATTTATCCACTCCTACCGTCAGAATCCAGTGCTTATACTCCAAACTTTGGATTTGCGTGAGGTCCTTCTTACAGGCTGGGTCCTTCCTACAGACTGACATCAAAACCTTATATCTTTTAGATTGTGAATCGAACCCCAACACTGCACAGGGTGAAAATGGACGGGGGGAGTGGAATTTGATTCTCGGAAGGTAAATACGATGTCCCGTACTAACGTTGCAAACAGTGACGTCTCCACTGGGTCTGGACAGACAAATCAGGCCGTCGGAGGAAGAGCGTAGACAGCCCGTCAGAAAGGGTTCAGAGTCCAAGTAGCCGAGACGGTTGGCTTGGAGCATTCCCGGCCGCCGGGGGTTTTCTTCGCTGAAATTTATGGTGTAAAACGGAGGGGCGGGAGGGTCATCACAGAACCACTTTTGACGTTTGAAAGCGATGAGGATTCCCGCCCTACTGGGAAGGGTCAAGGACAAGCTGCGATATAGGACGCCAAAGCCATGATCAGCTATGAGAGTGCAAAAGAATTTAGAAACGCACCTGAATTGTACTAGGGATTTAACAGGAAGCTTGGAGAGGATTTCGACCACAATGTCTTGGGGAAGAAGAAGAAGAGGTGGCGTTGAAATATACTCCGCCGTCTTCTCTGATAAGCTCATCGTATCTTACTATACGATTAGGTTTAGGGCTAATATGTATTTTGGAGTATCATCGTACTAGATTGAGGATGTGGTTTTCACTTTTCAGGTTTTAAGTTAAAGAATGCCGGAGTTGTATTTAAGGTAAAATTATATTCTCTCTCCCCTCCTGATTGCGCGAATTGCTATACAACCAATGTTAGGACTCTAAATTTCACATTTCCTAACTAATAAGGGATTTGACTGAAAAGGAATTTAATTTTACATATTTTTATGTCAATGAGTAGGTTTAACTTTGTTTTGGGTATTTTTTTTTTTTTTTTTTTTTTTTTTTTTGAGGAGAGAGTTGTTGATTATTGCAAATGTACATGCATAACCTAGATCTGGCAATTATTGATTTCAGCCTTGAGTATTCTCTTTAGGGCATCCCATTAGGGGGTTCATCCTCTATGCTTTGCTTTTTAACAAATGGGAAGTCAAAAGTATGGATGACAATGGGGCGGGGCGGGGGCGGGAGATATCCCCGCCCCCGCCCCAGCAATCCCACCCCACTCCCCATACTCGCACCCGCACCCGCACTCGCGCGGGTAATGAAATTCCTTCCCATACCCGCTCCCGTGGGGATTTTGCGGGTGCGGGGAATACCCAACATGTAACCTTAGTCTCATTAATAATATGAAACTTACATCTAATAAATTAAAATTTTTATTACTACAATTTATAATATTAATGCATCGAAGTCTTCATCAAATAACTACCAACTTGAATATAACATTTGCTTCCAACTTCAACATTAGTGTATAAAATCTTAGCCAATAACACCAAAAAAAATTAGAAGCTATAATATTAGTTAGTTATGACCTTCCTTTACTACCCAAAAATCTATACAATGCTTCAAGTTTAATGCTTCAAATTTTCATGGATTATATTAGTGCATCAAGTCCTCGACTTAGTACAAAAAAGTAGTTATAGACTTCAACACTAGTTCTTCAAATCTCTACTGCCAAGTCTGCCATCTAAAAAAAATGAATCAAAGATTCAAAATAATTAAAAATAATTCATGTCAATTTTATTTTAACGTATTAAATTTAATACATAAATTATGTTATAGTTAAGATGTACCTCCATTTCTTCCAAGTCCTCTTCATTTTCATAATCATCATGAATAGTGTTTTTTTGCATGCATCATTTTCTTGGAAAAGTTTACCTACAAAAAACAAATTATATCAAGTAAACTAAATAAAAGTAATTAATTATTTGCTATTAAATTTTGAGTAAATTTTATTACCTTTAATACCTTTCAACAATCAATTTTGACCACACATTAATGCCTCTAAAATATTTGGATGAAGTCTACTACAATGAGGACTCACCAATCTACCACTGGTGCTAAAAGCTGATTCCGAAGCAACAGTAGAAATTGAAATAGCTAAAATGTCCTTGGCAATCTTTTGAACACTGGATAGCGGAGTCCATCACCTCTCCACCAAACTAAAATATCAAAGTCATTAGCTAATGGCAACAGGGCCGTATTTTAAGTTTTGGTGGCCCTGTTCTGGCAAATAAATGTGGCCCTATTAAAATTACAATTTGTAAAATCAATACATGCAAGTTTCGAACCTTTGACCTCCAAGTTAAAATACAATAAATACACATTCTTACCATTTCTTCATGGAACCTTTTAAGTTTAATTGAAAACTTTTAATTTTTATTTCTAAACTAGTTAGATAAAAATTAAATATTGGACCTCTAAAATTGGGGCCCCTCTAAAATTGGGGGCCCTGTGCGGTAGCCCAACTTGCACAGCCTAAAATCCGACCCTGAATGGCAATACTGCAATACTTCTTCCTCCAAATATTGATCCAACTCGGATTTCAAGCCCGTTGTTTTAGAATTATTCAAATAGGACTTAAATCCCGAGAGAAAACAATCTCCTTCATTCACATCCTCAATTGGAACAATCTCCTTCATTCACATCCTCAAAGAGAATTTGATCTCACACATCAAGGGAAAAAACACATTAGTTGTTGGATAGTTCCTCCCAGAAAATGCATTTGAAGCTTCGTAGAACAACTTCAATTTCTTTCACATTTCTTCAGCTAACGTACTCCCAATCTTCTTTTAGTGGTGCACAAGTAAAAAGAGTTTCTCTTTGTTCCAAACGATAAAAAACATCCTTGAATTCCAAAGCAACACTAAGCATTAGAAATGTAGAATTCCATCGGGTCTTGCAATCAAGCACTAATTGCTTTGAATATTCAATTTCCAAATGTGTTGCATTTTCTTTAAAAGTTTGTTGTCTTTTTTGGTGTGGCTAACCAAAAGGCAACACTATTTCTTATACTTTCTAATCCCGAACTCATAATCTTTAGCCTATCTTGAACAATCAAATTTAAAATGTGTGCACAACAACGCATATGAACTAACTTCCCACGCAATAAAAGATGGCTAGGATTTAACTTGGATACAAGGAGTTCAATCGTACCATCATTTGTTGAACAATTGTCAACCGTCAAAGTTGACAACTTTCTTTCAATATTCCAATCAAATATACATTTCAACAATTCTTTGGAAAGAGCTACCGATGTATGTGGACAAGACACATAAATAAACCTATCAATTAAAAAATTGCACACCAAATAATGTAAGAAATTGCACAACAAATAATATAAGAAATAAATTATAAGATTAGTTTAAGTAACATGCCTTATAAGCAAACTTTGCAAACTCCAATTCTTGTCAATAAAGTGTGCAGTAATAGCCATGTAGCCTTTCTTTTGATTTGATGCCGTCCACATATCCATAGTTAATGCCACCTACTTGGATTTTTCTTCAAAATGTCCCTGATGTTGGCCTTTTCCATACAATAAATCTTCATTATATCACTTCTAATTGTATTCCTAGAAGCACAACAAGAAAAATGCACATAGACAACACTAGAAAGACAACAATTTTTAACAAAAACGTTGTCTTTTGTATAAAAGACAACAGTTTGGTCCAAAACCGTTGTCTTTGATGCAACACTTTTGTCAAAGACAACGGTTTTTACTTAACCGTTGTTGTAAGTGTGTTGTCTTTGTGCATTTTGTGAAAAGGCAACACCACAATGACAACGATTTTTTAAAATCGTTGTCTATGTGCGTTTTTTTTTTTAAAAGACAACGGTTTTTTTTAACCGTTGTCGTTGGTGTGTTGTCTTTAAGCGCACTGGAATACACAACACTAGAAAAACAACGGTTATTTAAAACTGTTGTCTTTGTGCGCTCTTTTTTTAAAAAAGACAACGGTTTTATTTAACCGTTGTCGTTGGTGTGTTGTCTTTATGCATACTCAAATACACAACACTACAAAGACAATGGTTTTTAAAAACCGTTGTCTTTGCATGCTTTTTTTTTTATTTAAAGGACAACGGTTTTTTTATCGTTGTCGTTGGTGTGTTGTCTTTAAGCGCACTAGAATACACAACACTACAAAGACAACAATTTTTTTTTTTTAAAAACCGTTGTCTTTGCGCATTATTATTTTTTAAAAGACAACGGTTTTATTTAACCGTTGTCATTTATGTGTTGTCTTTAATAGCACTTGAATACACAACACTACAACGACAACGGTTTTATATAACCGTTGTCGTTGCGCGTTCTTTATTTGGTTAAGACAACGGTTTTATTTAACCGTTGTCTTTGATATGTTGTCTTTAAGCGTATTTGAATACACAACACTACAAAGACAACGGTTATAAAAAAAAGCCAGTGTCTTTGCGCATCATTATTTTATAAAAGACAACAGTTGTATAAAATATAAACAACTAAATGTTAACAACAAGAGTTGAACCTACGACTTTAAACATAGCAAATAATGTCTAACCAACTAAGCAACACAAACTCTTATGTATAAAAGTGCAACATCTGGTATATAACTGGGTTGCTTCTGTGTTGTCTATGAAAACCAAGACAACGATTTTATAAAATAGGTTAAGGATGCCCACAAGAAGAATAGAACCCGAGATCTCTAACATAATAAGGAATCTTGAATAGTGGTTGAATAGCAGATGCAAATCTTTTGAAATCATAATGATCAACCATTGAAAGTGGATATTCATGCATGATTATCATACTTGCCAACTCCTTCCTTGAAGTTTCTTGATCAAATGTGTAATTACTTATACACATTTTTCCATCAGCTTTCCATTGTTGTTGCAATACTGTTTGTTGCCTCATATTTTTGAAGTGCCTCATCTTGCACACTTTATGATGTTCATGAAGATTCTTTGTTCCATTTTTTCTTTGTGCTCCAAGAAGTTTCTTGCAGTAGTTGCATTCTGCTTTATTAACTCCCTCAACATTAATCTTTTTAAAGTGTTGCCAAACAATTGATCTTAACCGTTTATCACCAACTTTTGCTTCATCTTCAAGCATATTGCAAGTAATTGGAGTTTCAAGCTCAACATGTTGAACAGAAGGGTCAGTTGAAAATTCAACTGGTGAAGAATTATCAGGTTCCACCCGTGTTCCACCCGTTGAATTGGTGTACTAGAATTGAAACCATCAATTCCTTGAGAAATAATATCACCATCTATCATATATTCATATACATAACTTGTAAAAAAATCGTATGAATGAAACTAAAAAATAAATGGAACTAAAAAAAGCCAAAGAGAAGCCACTAGAACACATAAATCAAATTAGGAAAAAAAGGAGGAAGAAGAAAGTGTCATTTTTTTTTTGTACTAGCCCTGGAGATCTTTTTTTTTTTTTTTTTTCTGCAGATTTGTTCTTTTTCAAGTCTTCAACTTTCGATCTTCTTCACAAACTATAAAAAAAATCGTATCAGTGAAACTAAAAAAATTAAATAGAACTAAAAAAATGAAAGAGAAGCTATAAGAACAGATAAATCAAATTAGGGGAAAAAAGAAGAAGAAGTGTCTTTTTTTTGTATTAGCTAACCTTGAGATCTTTCCTTCGTTCTACAGATTTGTTTTTAAAGTCTTCAAGTTCTGATCTTCTTCACAACATATAAAAAAAAATCGTGTGAATGAAACTAAAAAATTAAATAGAACTAAAAATGGAACTAAAAAGTGAAATAGAAGCCACAAGAACAGATAAATCAAATAAGGGAAAAAAAAGTGTCATTTTTACATTTTTTTTTTATACTAGCTAACCTGGGATGGAGATCTTTTCTTCTTTCTGCAGATTTGTTCTTCTTCAACGTTCAATCTTCTTCTTCTTCTTCTTTGCTTTGTTAATTGCTACTCTATTTTTGATGTTTCATACCCTTCATCATTTTGGCTTATTTTGTAAGCTATCAAATGGAAAGTGAAAACTGGGAAAGAAGCCTGATTTCTTCTATGTATTTGACGTATGTAAGCTAGAGCCTAGAGATTAGAGAAGCCTATTTTATTGGGATAAGAGAAAAGAAGATTTCAATATCTATTTTATTGGGATAAGACTTAAGAGAAAAGAAGGGTAGAGACTAGAGATCAGATCTTTCTAACAGATTTAATAAATAACATTGGGAGAAGATTAAATAAATAACATAAGACTTTAATATTGATATAAATATAATAACACAATAAATAAATAAATAAATAAATAAATAAATAAATAAATAAATAAATAAATAAATATATATATATATATATATATATATATATATATATATATATATATATATATATATATATATATATATATATATATATATATATATATATATATATATATATATATATATAGATTTAAGTTCTCGTGCGAGTGAGGGCTTCAGGTGCGGTTGTGCGGTTTAATCTGAGCCATTCATCTCGCTTTAATCAACGTCCAGGGACTCATTTGATAAATGGTCTGCCCTATGAAAGCTGAAAGTTACGCCCAAATGGAAGACGTTCTTATGGAGAGCTTTGAGAGATATCCTCCCCACTATCAAGAATTTACTTATAAAGAGGGTAGAAGTTGATCCCCTTTGTGCCATGTGTGGCATCTCATGTGAAGACACTATGCACTCTCTAGTTATGTGTGACTTTGCCAAAGCCATTTGGAGTGAATTCCACATTCCAATCCCTCTAATTGTCACAAATATTTTTCATACTTGGTTTAGAGAAGTCTTGGATACTCTAGATGTTAATAAGTTATTCCTCACTTCTGCTATCCTTTATTATATTTGGAAGGCTAGGAATGGTGCTGTCTGGGATGCTTGTCTGCCTCGCCCGAAGAAAGTGGTGGCCACGGCCACGGCTGCCTTACGTGCCTGGCGCGACACACATCCGTCCTCCGCTGCTCAGCCCGTCGCACCATCGCCCGCCACTGCCGCGTTGCATGCGGCCTCGACGTCCAAGGTCGTCGCTGCTCCGCAGGCTGCCACTGCCAGTGCCACGCACAGCACGCTCCAGCCCGCCGACGCACGTGTAGATTCGACGCGGGGCTCCATCTGCCATCCACCAAAGCTACGGTCGGTGCGGTACTTTTCAACTCGAATGGTGCGTATGTTGCGGCCTTCAATGCCCTTTTGCAGCCATGTCACTCACCCCTCATGGCCGAGGCCTTTGCATGCAAGGAGGTTCTTTCCTGGTTACGGGATAGAGGGGAGCTTGCGATTGAGTTGTTCACAGATTGTTCGAGCCTTCAACAATGCCTGTCTTCTATTACGGGATCGGTTCGGTCCTATGTCGGCTTTGCCTTAGATAGCTGTTCTGCTATTATTTTGCATTTCGATTCTTGCATAGTTAGCTATATTCCTAGATTGTCTAATTTATTAGCTCATACTCTAGCCACTCTAGCTTTTTCGCAGTCTTCTGCTATGTATTGGGAGTCTATTCCCCCTGATGCTATTATAGCTTTTCTCTAATAAATGCCTAACAAGCTCCTTTCAAAAAAAGAATAAATAATCATTTGTGAGTCATCTAATAAAGTGTATTTCACTATATTCACAATTTGCCACCCACGACCATTTTTTTAAAAAAAGACATTTATACAATGTTGGACGGTCCATGTTGATAAGAATTCGTCGGTGGGCATGTACGTCGTAGTGCCACACATTTAGTCATAGTCTTCGGCTACTCTACAACCTTAATAGGGTCTATACTTCTCCCTAGCTATCGATCTCTCTTAAGGTGATCAATTGGATGAGTGTCTGTAAATCAATTTCTTGGGCATGTTTTAATTTATTGGGCTTTACTATGCAGGTTATTACTTATTAGACCAGTTGCAAATTATACCATGGATCAGGGTCTATCTTACATTATAGACCCTGATTCAAAAATAACCTTCAGATTTTGTATATATAGTTAACACATCCTGTACCTGTAGTTGATGGTTTTTGTACTTGTAGCTATCATATTATGTATCAACAATTATACAAAAATAATCTTCAGATTTTGTATCTATAGTTGACAAATTCTGTACCTGCAGTTGATAGTTTCTGCATATGTAGCCATCATATTACGTTTTAGCAATTATCAAATTATTTATTTACATGTATAAAAACTGTTTACTATAGGTACATAATGTGTTAATTGAAGATACAAAATTATTGAATCAGAATTCACAATGCAATATAAATTCTGGTCCATGATATAACTATTGTAAACCAATTGGTTTACAATCCCATCATCAATGAAATAATGGGTGTAACCAGCGTAATCCAAACAACTTGGTTAGTCTAAATACATCCTAGGTATGACTTTGTTCAAGTTATATAAGATAATCAAGGTTATGTTTTCTTGGAAATATAAAATTTTCATGTTTGGTTCAAGTTATGTAATTCATAATTGGAAAAATATTTAATTCATACACCTTATTTAGAAAAATTATTGAAGAAGTAAAAATAGATATTTCCTAATTTTATAAAATAGGATTTAGGAAAAATAATTTTAGGTTGACGGCAAATTATATCGTGCACCGCGGTGCATAATCGATTATGTACCGCGCATCAAAACGACGTCGTTTTTTTTTAATGAAAAGAAACAGAATCTTCGCAAAAAATAACACTGTTCTTCAATTTCATTTTGTATACACTGCAGTTTCAGTTTAACACAACTATAGTTTTATTTCGATATAACTACAGTTTCATTCAATATTTATACACTCAAATATGTGAAAATGTTATTTAATTTTATTTTATATACACTATAGTTTCATTAAAACACAACTACATGATCATTTCAATATAATTACAGCTTCATTGTACAATATACACTAAAATATGTGAAATGTTATTCAGTTTCATTTTATATATAGTGTAGTTTCATTTCACCACAATTACAATATCATTTTGATATAACTGCAGTACATTTGATAATATAAAAATAATACGTGAGTCAAGTGTCGGTTTAGACACACTGTAGTGTCACTCCGTTATAACTGCAGAAATAGCGTCGTTTTGACGCGCGGTGCATAACCGATTATGCACCGCGGTGCACGATATAACGACTGAATAATACTTAAGCAAGCCCAAACCAAACAGGCCCAAAATATTTTTTAATTAATCGAGGTCTGCCCAAATTGGGCCAGACTTGGCCCAAATCTTCATCTTCTTCGCAAACCCTAGCAACCATGGATGAACCAGCTTCGAGGAACAGCAATAGCAGGGTCGTCGGCATCGCCTGAGGGGAGGACAATAGCATCGTCGCCTGGGAAGCCACCTCTACCTCCACCACCGCAGCTGCCATCGACATCGAAAACGCCGCCGCCATCCGCCCGTAGCCGCGTCGCAAACCAGCCACCGGACTAAACGCTCTCCAACGCCGCCTCTATCTGCCCATAGCCGCGTCGCAAACCAGCACCGGACGACCTCCTCCACATCGTTTCGTCGCCACCGTTAGCAGCCGACCGACCAACGTGAATGGACCAGAAAATAGCAAGCGAACAGAACAAAAAAAAAAAAAAAACGGCCAACGTTTTTTTTAAAAAAATAAAATAAAATATCCAATTGAATATTAAAAAAAACATACTTAATGCGGAAAAATAAATTTCAGTAATCCAAACAATTGCATATAATTATTCAGGTCATAATATATAACATATGCAACCAAAACACTTAGAGAATCTCCAAGGGACGCTATATTCCAACACCAAAACACCATCGCAACAAATTTCTCTCCAAGGTATGTTTCCATCGCGCCATAACGCCAAAAGGAATGACATTAATGAACAGTGCAGTGCTATATTTGGCGCTACACTGTTTATCCGCGGCAAATGGAAAAGGAGGAGGAAAATGACCCTTTTGCCCTTGCTTCTTTTTATAATTCCAAATGTATCCTTTATTTGTTTTATATGTAATTTTTTATTTTGTTAAATACTTATATTTAAACTTTGTATTATTAAATAAAAATTATACCATTTTAAAGATGTCATTGAGACGATCGGAACAAGACTAATATTGAATATATATTAATTAAAATTACAAATACATTAAACATAACTAGAACATAATAAAAGTTAAAATATGTACGACATACATCAAAAATGACTAGAACATAATAAAAATTAAAATACATACGACATAATAATATTAGAAAATACAACACAATTTTGAACAAATATAATAAAATTAATAATTTCCTAGTCCACTCCCACTTCCTCCAAATTATCAAAGTATTTATAAAATTCAAGATTTGATTCAACTCCTCCTCCATGCTCTTGATTTCTCTCTGCAACAATTTGTAGTTGTTGGCGTCTAATCGACTCACACACAGCTGGATCTTCTATCAAATTTAAATTCATTCTTAAGATTTTGTTATCTTCTTTTCGTTTCGCTATTGTCATTTTTTCTTTTCCCAATGTTATTTTGTTCGCTAAATTTTGAGCTTTAAGCAAATCAAGCTCATATTGTTTTTGGAGTAGCTCATGATTGTTTTCGAATATTCCTTTGAATTGTGCAGTTTGTTGTTCCATTGCCGCAATAAATTGATTGCGCTCATCCGAGAGTTGATGCTTAATCTTTTCCTTCTTCCTTCTCGTAGGACGTTCACCTACATTGTTCATTTCATTACTATGTTCATCAGTTTCAAAATCATCATTCAAATCAATAGCAAATGAGGAAGAGCCTATTGACTTCTCGGTTCCGAAAGATTGTGATTGTGATCCTTCAGAAGTTTTTTTCGATCTCCAACATTTAGCGAGCTCCCAGTTCTGCAAAATTTCTGCATGCCTTTTACAATCGGCCATACATGATCAAACTTAAATCCG